TATTCTTTTGCATCGTTTGCGATGCACTTCTTTTGGCCGTCAGGACGCGTTGATTCTCGAGCGGACCTATTGCTACAGCTGCTTCTGGGGCGAGTAGCGGAGAGGGGCGATATGAGATGCCCACTCGTTCGTTGCTCATTGTGAAGAGAAGCACGGCCAACAACCGCACGGACGCTACGACTCAAGACTACACTTGCATGTATGCAGTATGTTTCATAGTTTAAATAACAATTTTTGGACGCGACAAGGAGCAACGCGCTCAGACAGGCAGCAGCGACGACACCATATAGACACGAGAGCATGGCGCGCTGTTTACGCCCCGACCTTGCTCTGCTTGATGAACGCATGTACTTGGGTTTTCTCATTGTCGCTGAGGAGTTCAAAGCCCTCGAGCGTCGGGAGATGCCACGGGTTCTCGCAGCACGTCAAGTGGTGCCAGTCGAGCGCAATGTAGCCGTTGAGGTGGTGGAAGATGAGGCCGACGCGGATGTCGCCTTGCATGATGTTCTCCTTGCAGGCTTGGCAGAGGCAGCCGTCGGTCGTCGCCGTGCCAATGACCGGGAGGGTGTTGAGCGTCCACGGATTCCGGGTCATGGCGGCTCGATTGAAATTGCAAAGTGCCGATGCTGCACGGCCCAATACGCGTTACTGCTGCATCATAGAAGGCGTAGGAGCTGGTGCCTGGAAGCGCATTCGACGACCGGCTCCTTTGTCTCGCCAACTGGGTGCGCCGCACACGAAAGCGACCAATTGCCATCAAGGGGCTGCGGACGCCCTTTTGCTACACTTGGCAATTGTATCACGTCGGGACATGTCATGGAGAGCTGGACGTGCGTCCCAAAGGCACTCGCCATTTGTATGTGCTTGGAAGCCACTTGGTGGCGCTACGGTGGATACACCAAGGTGTCAGTCTTACGCTGTCTTAGATCTTAGTCCTAAGCTCCACGCGACTGGAGATGCGTGGGATATTTTAATACGCAATTTATTTTATTGGAAGTTCATAAAATGGCCAACCGCTGTCGCGATACGGGACGCCACCTGCAAACTCGGAATCGACTTGGTCGTCGGTGTATCGACAGCTCCTTTGAAAGTGCATCTCCTCCGAACGGTCTTTCGCAACGCACTGCATGCTGCCACGTCGCTGTAGCTGCGGTGGTGGCTCGTGTCGCCTGGGTCCAGTTACGCATCGACCACGCGTATCAAATTTTCGGAAATTGGGTTGATACCAAGAGCGTATAACGTGAAGTTGATGTAAATCAACGTCGGAGCATGTTTTTCATGTTTCAGGCTCGCTTTCGCACGATTGAGATCTGCTCTCCTTGCTTGGATTCTCTACCGTTGTGTACAAGCTGCTTGGGTGCGCTGAACCCTCCAGCGCCACATAATCCACCACATTTTGGTACTCGCCTTTCAAATGTATTCGAAGTATATTCATTGACTGAGTTGGGCCTTAAGGACGCAACTACGGTACTTTAGGGCACCTGCAGTCTCGAAGCATATTTTTGGTTCAAGCGTTGTGTCGCGTGAGGTGCTGGCGCTCGTCAGTGGCGCCTGTCTTGGTGTTCAGGCGCTGTTGACGTAGCAGTCGGCATGATGGTCCACATCGCGTCGCGTTCACGACACGGCGACTTGGTCAATGTAGTGCTGGACCTGCTCTTGGGCTTGGGCGCTCAGGAGCTCGTAGCCCTCAATGTGTGGGAGCTGCGCGGGCGTCTCGCAGCACGTCAGGTGGTGCCAATCGAGTGCGATGTAGCCGTTCAAGTGGTGAAAGATGAGGCCGACGCGCACCGCGCCTTGGGGAATGCACTGCTTGCACGATTGGCACGTGGACTTGTCGTTCTTGGCCGTGCCAATGATGGGAAGCGTGCTGAGGGTCCAGGGGTTCGATGCGGGCATGTTGAGAGTAGGGCGGCAGATGTGCGTCTCGTTAAGCAAAAGTGGAAGTGAGAAACCCTTGTAGACTCGATTACGCGCATGCTTGTAGAATCCGAGAAGGCGATCATGCAGCTTTTTCTCTAGTCAATCAATGAGTCGGTGGTCGATCTTGTAGTTTGTATGGGCCATGATGAGCTGTCGGAACAAGCTCGCGTTGTGTCGCGCAGTTGCGCGACATTTGTTTTTTAATTTTTAATTTGAGATCGCAGCTGGTGCGGGACGTCGCAGTGACGAGCCGACGTTGTGTTGTGCGAATCTTCGCGGAAGCCAGACGCGCCCATGGACAGCGCTGCAGACCGCACATTTGACGAGGCCTCAGCGAGGAAGGACGAGATTCTATGCGACTTCCATAGCATTGTCCATGACGCGGCGCGGCGGCGGAGATCGTCCGGCGTCTGCAGCTACAACAACGTCCATGGTTTATAGACTAACTATCCTGTGAAATTTTGACCATGATGTCCGAGTGGATAGTACGCCAGTCGTGGGTCGTCGACAGCCCAAGATGTCGTCGACAGCATCAAGAACCAAGAAGCTTCTTAGTCCGCAGACGCTTTGAGAGCGCTTTTACAGATCGTTTTGAGATCCATCTTCCACTGTACGACTACGTAGTAAAGTGGCAAAGGCCAGTGCAAAGGCCCTGGATAGAGTGGGATTTATCACAGAAGTCTGGCTCTGTGCCAGAGCCAGGACTGAGGCCGGGGTATCTACACTTGGTCCGTGGTCGTGGATATTGCAGTTTGCTTAAAGGGCCCGCCTGAAGACTACAATTGTATCTCAGGATGATTCGACTTCTGACTTGGTCTACGGACCCAGCATTGTAGTAAGTAGCAGCAAGGGATATTCTATGCCTTTGGTCGTCGTCATAGTTGGAGAGGACAGATCGCCAGTGCGTCGGGTCCTTTGACACACGATCGACCAACTTGAAGTTGGCGCGTTCAGCACAATACCTTATTTTGGCATTGTGGCTTAGAGAATGACCATGTATTGACATGCAAATTTACATCAACACCATCTTTTGACATTGCACCTTTCTACAGCCGGAATGCTTCGGCAGCGCTGGGTGATCCAAGTCGCGTGCGGCGCCGCCGCCTTCTCGGCCAGTGTGGCCATGTTCAACCTCGTCATGGAGACACAG